CTATAAAAATAAAAACACCAACTAATAAAAATCAATTAATTATAAATGCAAGTATATGACTTTTAAATAAATTATTTTATCTGTACAAACAATTACGAATGTATAAAAGAATACATTTTTATAAATTCAATAATTTCATTATTCAGTAACTAATAACAATTTATAATTAAAAAAATTCTGAAGGCGCACTACATAGGCAACATGTTACATAGTATTGTATTACTGTATTTGATTCGTTATAATCAGTAATTAAAATAGTATATTTATTTGTGTATGTAACCGTAAAAAGTTTTCAGAAAATACAGGATTATGTTAAATTAAGTATCACGTTATAATACTTGTTCGTACAAGCATGCTGCACTGAATGATAATTAACTACTTACCTATATATTATTATTACCCATATTAATCTAGTGAAATAGATATTTTGTATATAATTTTATTATAATAATAATATGTATTATAGCGTGATTATTTGTAATTTCAGTTAAGTTTAAATCAGAATAATTATAAAAATAATTATTATTATAACCTTATTTTTTATTTTGTATCTCAAATAATTAATAAAGTATTACAGTACTAGTGGTTTTAAACTTGCACATCCTATTTTTCACAAAAAAAATCTATTTTACATTTATCCATATAAATAAAAAATATATAATATCACAGTTATTTATCCAAGATATCTCATCAGATAACTTTTTTTTACATTCTCGATTTTATAAAATATGATGACTTATGTATCTAAATATTCAACAACAAGTTCGGGTATCAATTGCACATAGACTTGGAAGTTCAGCGTAGGAACTTAAATTTAAAATTCTGAATGGATTAATGATTGTATTGATTTAACATCAATGATGAGTATGTTTATTTTCCGTGTACGTGTACACACTGAGTAATCAATAAAATGAGTAGATTTCTAAAGAAAATTATACTTATTATAAGTTCTTGCATGTATAAAAGAATTATATAAATACAGAGGTGGGAATTTTTTTATATGTATTTAAAGTTCAATTTTTTACAAAATTATTTAAAATCATAAAAATTTTTCGAACTATAACTATTCTGTAGTAGAATAAAAAATGTATAAATATTCAATTTGTTAAGCCTAGCTAAAATATAAAAACTAATTACGATTTTCCTAGTAGTTTTTATCGAAACTGAAAATTTTTAAAAATATCCATAAACAATTATTTTTTATTTATTTCTAGTTTAATTTTGGGAAAAATAACGTATCTTAATAATGAATAATAGTGTTAATCGTTTTGTTTATAATACAAAAACACATAAACTATATGGTAATAAAACTTTTATATATATTATAAATTTTACTTTTCGTTATGCAATTTTCAAAATATGTAGATTATTTTAAGATATTATCTTTTTATTATATAACCATATTCATACTATTTTATGGTAGATATTTGCAGTAAGATATTATTAACTCAAAATTTAATAAAAATAATATATTATGGTGTAAATACATATTATTATAATAATAATTTAATATTAATACAAGGTTTCGGAAAAAAAATTAATCTATATAACGTAATACTAAAGTCTAAAAGTAATATAAATGATCTAGCTATATTAAAAAACTTAACATGAAATAAACTTAGTGATATAGACTGACAAACGGTCTCCGCTCTAAATCGTTTTTCATATCCCTACAATGATATATATTCAATGAATTTAAATTAACACACCCATTGGCCATTACAAAAATCCATTAAAACCCTATAGTGTACAAACGGTATCCACTAGCTTACTTTTTTATAAACAAATTTTGAAAATCATGTTCTTATGTTTAATTTTGTTATTTTAATCCTAAAACTCTATATGAATTTGCTCGTATTGTATATTTGTATAATTTGAACTTTGTTGGTGTTGGGTCTATGAAAGTTTCGATTCGTTGAAATTATTCAATACATTATTATTGTTATTGTTATTGAGTTTTTAGGTATTATTCACACTACTATAGTTTTGGACAGTAAAAAATTTTTATTGATTTGTTTTCAACTAACTATCGTTTGATTGTAGTGATCATACAACAATTAAATCAATTAATATTATGCAATAAAACAAAAAATAACAAAATGATCGCGGTTGCAGCGATTACAATTATAGCAGTTCGTGTATTTCAGTATTTGTACGTAATATTTTTGAAATAGTAGTAATGAATCATCTGTTTGAAGAAATAATACGATGTATAACTGTATTTAAATATAATGGTTGAAAATGTAGCAATAAAATTGTTATAATTAAAATTTAATATTTATATAGTACAAAACAAAATAATAGCTATAGGTTTTATATTCTCATAGTATAGTAAGTTATAATCTGTTAGATGATTATATAATAATAAAATACATATAAAATATCCTATTATGAACTATTATTTTATAATAAAATTGGTTTGTTAATTATTATAATTTTAGGGTTATTGAATCATTGAATTAAGAATTATTTATCTGCTAACTTTTGCTTAAAATCATAATCTGCTGTGTGAATAAATAAAAAAATATATTTAATTATTTTTATTTTATCCATTATTTATAGATTTCTATACTCAAACATATGTTTAATTTAATGAGAAGTATAGAATACCTATTATTTTTCAAATAAAAAGAAAAGCTAAATTATAATAGAATATAAATTAATCTAATTAAGTTATTTTAAATAGTTAATGCCCATTTTTTGTATTTATATACAAATTAAAGTTACGCACATTATAATATAAAGAACTATACTTCAAGTCACTGTAAGCAAAAAGTACTTTTTATAATTCCTAACCTTATAAAAAATAAAAATTCAATTCCTAAGTTGTGCTTCTAATTTTACAATAGTAAGCATTCATATAATACCTATTTATGATGTCTTTATCAGTTTCGACATGTTAACAAATTTAATACCGCCATTTTGTTATTGAACTTAAGTACCAACTAATAAAGGTATTTAAATATTAGAGATTATATTGTATAGATAACTTAACCAAATGTGGTAAATAAAAGTCTATGAGTGACATCTTGACATCTCCCTATATGCATTACATACCTAATAATATTCAAATAATAAATATACAACATTGTTATAAATAATATTAATTAAATTTTTTCGGTAAGAAAATATAGATTACCATTTATCTGGAAACAGCCGTTATTGACCAAATTTGTATAGGTACCCTTTTTTTTTTTGGCCAAATAAAAAAAAGGTGGATTTCCTTTTCGATCAAAACCGTACTCCTCCTTTGTCAGCCAAACCAAAAACTTAAATATTTACATTATATAATCTGATTATAATAATCATACCTACATAATATAGAAAACTATTAAAAATATAAGTTGTATATAGATAAACTAGGTTTGGTGTATAAATAATGTGATTACAATCTACAGCAGTTACCTACTAAACATATACATATTTATAAGTATTCTACGTTATATACATATTATAAAAAAAAACCCTGTAATTAAATTCAAAAATAAAAGTTATACAATATATTGTTTGATTTATTAGGTACATATTTTTAAAAATTTTTCTTTATCGTATAACATAAAATATACAAAAATATTAAGTTTTTAAACTTTTAATTTTTTTAGTTTGACCGAAAAGTGAATTGGCCAATAGGGTGAATTGATTTTCCTTAAAAAATGAGATACTTCCACAAAAAAACTAGTTTCCATTTTTTTCTAGACATTTTTGAACTAAAATCTAAAATGATCTCTATATTCCTTCAAATATTAAAATATATATTTAGTATTTTGACTGATACATGTGTTGTAGTGTTGTGTATCAAATGGATTACAAAGAAATAAATCACCGTATGCGTTTTATGGGTTGCAAATTCCATTTTATATAGTCGCAAATGCATTGTTAAGCAAAAACATTTCTAGGAAATTAAAAAGTAAAATAATTTTTTATCTGTCTGATATTTTTTTTTTAATTGTTCTTTTTAAGCCTAGCAACTTAGGCCGACTATCGGTTGTAGAAAGGTGCAGTAGGTTTTTTTTGTGTAAGGTTTGTTTGTAAATAAAATTTATTGTAAGGTTAGGTTAGTGTTATGTATGTGTGTATGGTGGATTCGGCCAACCACCAGGCCACAAGTCTAATCTTTTTTTTTTTTAAATGAGTTATATTGTTAATTCTTTATTGGTAGCCGGTAGAATATGTTCAAGATTTATTTTTTTGGAGGAAAATGAATGGCTTATGATTTTGGTCTAAAAGAACCTCAGTATCTGTACTCAACTATATTTATTGTTTATAACTTAGTAGTGATTCGGTATCAGTATAATTTTAAATATAAGTAAGGAAATTTGTAAATAAATGTGATGTTCAAATCAATTAATATTAATGAATTTTAAATTTTAAATTAAATAATCTTAAATCGATTGTTAACAATTATTTACTAAATGGTAAGGCAACTAACAAAATTACGATTAATCATTTAAACCAACTCGACTAAGTCAAAAAAAAAAGTTGACCGACTAACATTCTATCCAGCCTTGAATCAAAAACTAATTGTTTTTTTTTTTGCACTTAAATCGGTTGAGTATCTAATACATAATATTTATATATAGTACGCATGCTACATAAGCCATTGGTCAAGGTGACTGGACAATGTCATGCTATACACATCAAAATATAATGTGTTTATAACTATAGGTAATTCGTTTTCTCGTTGTAATATATAAATTAATGTAGGTACACAAATTATAGGTAATAAATTATCAATTGAAAAATGTCTATAAATTCGATACCTTCAAACAATCGTCAACGAAAAAATAATAATCCGATCGTTGAATATTATTGTAACACTACGGCAATTATAATTGCATTAAACTCAATTAATTTTATCATCGAATTTTAAACTTTAGATAAGTAAGATATAGAGCGCGCGTCATTTCATTTAAGTAATTTGTATACGTATTATATTTCTCCCGCTACACATATAAATAATATGATACTAAATATTATTTTATAATTATTTCGATTTCGATTAGTTGTTCGAATGTTGTCCTGCGGTTATCTGAGTATATTATATATATTTATAAATTTTTAAGGCCACATGTTATAACGACTTTTATATTACTTCCTTACACGCTCGTGTTTCACCAATAGTTCAGTGCATTTATGTGCGTTGTGTTGATTGTTCACATGTTTTTAACTTTTATCCTTAGCAACGTTTTCGTAGAAAATCATATAAACCAATTTCATCTCATACAGTAAAGTTGTCGTCGTCGCAAGTCATCTAATAAGTGCGTTTTACCCTACTGTCGTCCTGAGAATCCATTGAAGTAATTAATTATTAGTAATATTGTTATTACATAACTTGTATCACATGATTATCATGTTGCAATAGCCGAGGGACCGTCATAGATTTTCGGTGTAGTACATCAAGAACAAGTGGACACAATCTATGACGCCTGTTATCATTTCTTATCAACAATAACATTGTAATCTGAGTTTTTAAAATTTTAACGTTTCAGTTTAGAAAATTCCTGTCTAAAACTAGTGTCTCGTAAACCTGTCGGCTGGATTTTCATTGCGTCGTTTACTGATGCGATTGGGTCTATCCAAGAGGATAATTACTGTCGTCGGTAAGTTACGATTGTCGTCCGAAAAGTATTTCAAAATGAGTGCCGTGAGTTTTACTGTGGGACCCAAAAACTGTTCCACGATCGGCGTGGACGTATCCAAAATGAGTGCTGCACACCTAGCCATCGACAAACACGTCAAAGTAATATATTGTCATTTACGTCACCGCAAATGTGGTTTGTTCTCAATATTAATACGCAACTGTTGCTTGTGATATTTTATCATCAGGATGGCATGATACTGGGCATCGGTAGCGGGTCGACAATTGTGTACGGTGTTCAACGATTGGGTAAGGTCATAATCTAAATATTGTTTGAGTTGTATGTATTCTCTTAGTGATGTCTAACTATGTTTTAATCTATAGCACAAAGAATGAAAGACGAGAATTTGTCTGTTGTTTGCGTTCCAACGTCTTATCAGGCACGTCAATTGATTATCGATTACAAACTAACATTGGGAAACCTAGACTCAAATCCTAAAGTAAGTAAAATACATGATATTATAAATACAATTAACATGTTTAAATTTTTATGATCATTCAGATAGATTGTACAATTGATGGAGCAGATGAGATTGAAGTTGGCACTCTGACGTGCATAAAAGGCGGAGGAGGATGTTTGACCCAAGAAAAAATTGTAGCATCATGTTCTGAAAAATTGATAATTGTTGCCGATGGAGCGTAAGCATATTTAATAAAAGTGTTGTTTTATTTTTTCATTTCTTAATTATGTTTGCAATTGATGTTAAGTAAAGAGGTAAACCATTTGGGTCAAAAATGGAAGAAAGGTATACCTATTGAGGTAATACCTATGTCGTGTAAACCAATTCAGCAAAAAATTGAAGGAAAGTATGGAGGTGAAGCCATTTTGAGAATGTCTGGTGATAAAGCAGTAAGTTAAAAATAAAATAATGCAATTAATGTGTATAATATATTCAATAAAGTTTAACTATTTTGTTTACAGGGACCATTAGTTACAGACAACGGTAACTTCATATTAGATTGGTCTTTTCCTGAGACAAAATATTGTTGGTCATCTGTCCACAATTATTTAAAATTAATTCCAGGTTTGTTGTATTAATTTTATGCAAGACCAATTACCTTATTGTATATATACCTATTCTTAGGAGTGGTTGAGACTGGATTATTTATTGATATGACGGATGAATGCTTGGTCGGAGATCCACAAGGCAATGTACGATTACTGAAGAAGACTGAACAAACTTTAGAGTTGTAGGTTAAATCTAATATCTGTGTTAACATGTCATATATTATTTAAATTGGATAGTATTCTTTCTAATAGCTAAGTATTATGACTTATTTTTATCTTCTAACTGTGTGTTGCTTAAATCAAATAGCGTTTTAGATATTTTAGATCTTCAAATACTGTTTTCATTGATTATATTTCATAACTTAAACTTATGTATGATGGATTTATACTATTTAAAATATTTTGTTGTTATTTATTTATTATTACTTTTTTTTAAATGAATATACTAATATCTGAATTGAAAAAATATGTTATTAAAGTGTATAATTTATCAACTTAACAATAGTTCTATTATTTTATTATGTAGTACTCGTATATTGATTATTTTTTAATTCCTAATAATAATATTTATAGGATTTAATTTAATTTTAATATTAAACATAATATCTATAGTAATAAGTAATAACTGTTCAAAATTAAACAAAAATTATTCATTTTTTTTTTAGTTAACTAATTAGGTTGGTTTTTTAATCAATTAATGAAACAATTAAAATATAATGTTTAACTAAATTTTTCTGAAAAAAAGCGAGTAAGCATAGATTTGTTACAAATGATTATTAAAAGTAATACAAATATTAATATTAATTATTATGATAATCAAAGCACATTAAAATAAAAATACATTAAAAGATATCTATTTACTGTTTAGTATAAATGTAATTAAGATACTATGAATCATGTGATAACCTTATCTTCAACTTATATACATTTATTTAAATGCACATGAAATACAATGTTAAGTTACAAATAATTTAGGGTGCAAAGCCTTTTAATTTATTAAAAATATGTATAATATTAATATATTTTTATTAAAACATTATATTATCATACAATGGTTAATAAAATATAATGTACAATTTTTTTGTTCATCATCAAGCACATTTATATTTTTTTCTGGTTACATTTTTTTAAACAGGTCCATTATTAAAAATAAATGTTTTTTAATTTAAAAATACAATAAACTTAGAATTCTGATTTACATTTTAGTGAAGTAGGGTTAGACTCTCTTAGCCCAATGTAAATTGTGTTTAAACACATGAGCTAAACTTATTTTTATAACTAAATGAAATATATTAATACTTGAAAACCTAAATGGTAGTCAAAAAACTATTCAGTACATCGGAAAAATATTTTTATAAATGGAAACAACTAGTTGTAATATACTGTAATAATAATTATTAATTAGTAAAGCATGCAATTCTGAATTAATAATTTGTTTGAATCGGAATTGTTTTGTTTATAACATTTTGTTTTAAACACCTTTAAAACAACTAAATGAAACAAATTTCAATACGTTTTGATCATTTAAAACAGTTGAATAAAACAATAAAATAAAAAAAAGTGTTTAAAACAAAAAAAGAAAGAAAATTATAGCTTAATTTTAATTTTCTTAAAAATTCTTATTATATTCATGTTTCAAATTAATTTATATTTTATGATTTTATGCAATCTGTAAAATAACCTGGTATTACTTTCTCAAGAAATTTATAGTAGAAAGGAAAAAGTTAAAACTGTAAAATTATGTCCATAAATATTTGTATTTTCGAATTTTAAAATATTTTTCAATTCAAGAACATCTAGAAATGGGTTTAAGAGAGGAGAATGCCAGTCCCCCCCCCCCCTATTGAGCCTAAGGTAGCTTTTTTTTTAAATTCAACAATTTTCTATGATTGACTCAATATGAATATATTTTATGATTGTGTGGCCGATATTGTCTAATCAAAATATTTAATTACAAGTATATTGACTTTTTTCGGCTTTTAATTTTAAACATGTTTTAAATTGTTTATAACTATTTTAAACAGCACACACACACAAAAAAAAAAACAATTTATATAAATTTGTTTAAAACAAAAAAAAATATAACTTTTAGACAATAAAAACATGTTTTTTTCTAATTTTGGTTTGAACATAAGGTAGGTAGTAATATGGCAACGACCATAACATTTTTGATTAAAATTAGGTGCGTTTTTTTGTTTTACATTTGCCCCTACAGGCCCTAAAATTATAACCATGAAAACCTTGCTCTTCTGTTATTAAAGCCACTATTTCTTTTAGATTTACTTAACTCTTACATCATTGATTTTTAATATGTTAATAAAATACGATGTGGCTAGTTAAAGAATTTAATTATCCCTTAACCGGCTTAACCAATTCGTGTTTGATTCCAAGACGATTTAAATCATTTTTTTTTTATTCTGTAACTATTGATATTCGCAGAGGATCTCTATCTATCCTAGGAACTTGAACTACAACACAATCTTTGACTTAAATTAAATTACCTAAAGGAATAATTAACTCATATTATAGTATATTAGTTTTAAGTAAAATAGGTAGGTATTTAATATGTTTTTACCTATGATATTTTTTTTTTTCAGCAGTTGTTGGTAAGCCATTTAATCCTTGTTCTTTCAATTCAATAATGTTTAAATTATTTTTGCATAAATTACAAATAATAGCACTAGCATAGTTGAATTTCACCGTTATATCTAGTGAATAGTGATGTCCATGATATTTATAATTCGATACGATATTGATTATCGGCTTAAATTTTTAATACGTATATTTATAGAATAATTCAATATATCTTGATTTTTAATTAATGTATCATTTTTATAATACTTTATCAGTTATCCTTACGGCTTATAGTTTAGGGGATTTCATCGATTCCGCCAGACCTTTTAAACTAGGGGATAAGGTATATCGATTCCTCCAATATCGACTTCTCCAGTACAGGTAATCTTAAAACAACCTATCGATTCCGCAAAAGAAAAAAATGATCTTCCCGACCAAAAATTATTGTTTTATAGATTATAATTTATTGTTATAATAGTGTTATTATAACCTAACTTGCTTGCTAATTGATGATAATTTAACGTGAAGAAGCGTAGGTAGTTGTCCTACACTAATTTGGTCAGTCTTGACTTTTCATTGTACCATTATACTTCACAAATTCACAATAATAAATTTCGAAATTGTAGCTGATGAATGACAAAATAACTTAGTTATTTATCAAAATGAAAAATTGAAGATTTATTAAAAGATTATGAAACTAAAAAAATTGATCGTTCAGATTTCATTAGTTTAGTATCATTACATTATAAGAAATAATATTTTACAACTTTTGACTATAATATTATTATATAAAAATAATACAATATACGTGATAAAAATTGTTATCAAATTTAATTCGTATTATTTTGTTTATATATAATATATTGGTAACTATTAATTAAATTATAATATTTAAATGATTTATTTTATTTTGTATATATATATATATATAGTATTGTTTTTTTATTTAAATTATCAGTAATTATTGAATTATTTTGTAGATATATTATAATTACAGAAACAGGTTGACAGCAGCAGGTGCCAGATTGAGGTATAAATTGGTAGGTGGCGGAATCGATAGGTTGTTTTTAGACTACCTATACTGACGGAATCGATAGGTTCCCATAGATCAGACGTATCAAGGCAGTATCTGCTCAACTACTATTAATGTGTATTAATATTATATAACCCGTATTTTAAGACCTGTACAGGTCTAATAAAAATTAGATACTGTAGATTAGAAAATAAATACGTAATGTATAAACTAATATTCTACTTCAGTACATCAGTGTTTTTCGTCCATACCTAATGTATAATGTAGTTTTCTTTAAAAAAAAGAGCACTAGTAATAATAAATTAGTGATTTTATCTGAGGCTATAAGTGAAATCTAGAAAAGTTTTGGACTTCAAATAAATGAAAATAGTTTAATATTGGACAAATAGAAATTTTTTGTCGTTCACGTAAATGTTCTGTGGCTACTAGCGTATAGTGGTAATACTTAAAATTTAAATTCACATTTTCAATAGTGTTTAAAAGTGTGACAGAATACAAACCAAACAATATCAATATATTAAAAAAAAAACCAAAAATCAAAATTAAAAATCCTAGATCGTTATCGAAAATTTTACGATATTACAAAATGTGGATGATATCAATATTTGGAATTAAATTCTTGGCCATCACTATTAATTTCGTTTTTACAAAGACTAAAAAGTGAAGTGATAATTTTAATCGTGGAATGTGAATCACCTAAGTCTTTACTATAATTACATCAATAAATCGTCTTCAGTCGATATTTTTTGCAAATTTTTATGTTAAACTTTTTTTGGGTTTCTTGTAAATAAGGCTTTATACGGAGATCTACAAATTATGCGATGATAGGAACAACTTTTTTGAAATTGGATAAACTCTAAATCAATATATCATTTTTTTTGAATTGTTATTTTCCGTCTAAGTCTTAGACTCTAAGATCTCAACAAAATTTCGCGGAGTATCCGCATCGGCTCTCATTTGTCTGCTTTGGCTCCCACTATTAATTTGAAGGTGGCCGTATCGGCTCCCTTCAGATTTCAATGGTTAGATTCCCAATTAACAAAATTTGTCTTCCTATTTATAGGCTGAGAACTGACTATAGATATGTTTGCCAAAAGGGCTCTTAACGAATAGTTGGTCGCAGTAGCTCGCACTCACGGGCTGAGTAATAATAAAATAGTATTATATGTAGACTAACGCTACGCTGATTGCTCGAAATAAAAACATCAAGAAATATAATATAATATGTGTTAAAGTTTTAATAAATAATCAAATATCAACAAAGAGCAGACGTGTCCACAATTACAATGCATATATAATAATATAATATAAGAATAATAATTTATAATAATAATTAATAATAATAATAATAATATGCAAACTTTTAATAATATGATTTACGTTCACAAATGGCACACAATACGGCCACTAAACCGGCGGAATGGTCAAACATCCGAAGTCGAAATGGACTCCTTAGAGCCTGTCAGGAGCCGATGCGGTATCATCCAATTTTCGATATCTTGAGGGTTACTATGTTCTACATTTGGTACCTTGGCTTTAAGAATGTCTAACCACGCACTATATAACACAGTATAAGACCACAGAGTTTTGAGCTCTGTAATTATACCTATAATGCTAACGAATTCTTGCCCGTTATAACTTTGCAAGATTTTTGGAGCCTTAAAGTAAGGAAATATAATGAAAATAAATTATTTGCTACTTAAGTTGCTTTTTATGATTTCAGAGGTTGCTGTGACAAAAACTTTGTACTATATGGTCTTGATAATTTTAAATTCATTTAAATTTACCATTAGGATTTGATTGAGAATCCACTAGATTGATTTGCCTCCTTTCATTAAAGTCTTCACTATTATGAATTTGAAAACAAATTTACGGCTTGCTGGTTTTTTACTATTATATAAAATATTTATAATACATAGGTTGACAGAAAAATTTCTATTGCTAGTCTTAAAAACGTGTATTTATTAATTAGAACCACGTGAATCTTCAAATTTCCCCCATAAGGCATAAAGGAAAATTTTTCATTTTTTCTTACATCTATTCATATGATACATAATATAGAAACAAATCCAAAAAAAAAATAAAATAGTTAAACTTGCTTAAAATAAAAATCTGAAGTATAAATATAATAAAATAAGCAGATGTTCCACGGCATCCACGGAAAAAAAATATATAAATCAATAGCTTTGTCGTTCATTCAGAATCCAAAAAGCAACATGGTAAACAAAAAATAAATTTACTTTATTTCTCGATTTTTCATTTTGCAGATTAAATAATGGTTTTCAGCTATAGAGAGGACATTACATTTTTCAAAAAGATATTATTCTCGCTTTATTAATATTTAAATTAATAATTAAAACTATTAAATATTGATATGGTATAGGTAGTTTACAATTGGCTTGTTTAAATTTTATAAAAGTTGAAAAGTGAAATATGAAGTCGAGAAAACATGATAAACTGTCAAACTGTGTCTTCATTAACGGGAATACAAGGCTCTTTTAGTTGTTATTGTAAAAGTAAAAGCCAAACAAAAAAGTGTGCTTGTTTTAAGGGTAATTTAAAATGCAATTCTAGATTTCATATCTAATAGTTCTATTTTATATTTAAATAAATAATAAATATAATTTTTTTTTTTTTTAATATTTATTGAGTTATATACAATATAAACATATGTGCGAAAAAAATAATATATAAACTATTAGACATAGAGACCGTGAAGAGAGAAGTCATCCAGCAATGAAACTCAAAAAAAAATATTTATAAATAATTCACAATTTATAATTTTTTTTGTTCAAAATAATGATAAATATTGGTATACAGTTCTTAATATTGTCTTGATATACCTACATATAATAAATTATTAATTTTTTGACGCTAAGTGTTTGTCCAGATGACGAATTAGTTCCGTTATTTATAGTTTAGGTATCCATTTCGTGAAATGTTATCCAGATATAACAGAATTACGCCAAGTGGAAAAAAAGTATTTCCACTTCGCGAAATTAATGTAAATTTTGTCCATTACGTGAAACGTATAATTACGCGATATGGATGTGACATATGTCGCAATGATAAATTATGATAGTTATATATGAGGTAAAAAATATAATACACAATTCCCAATTAATTCACTACTTTTATTTTTTATTTTTTTTGTATGTATCGTATTATAAATACAATTCCTATTTTTTAGGTTTTTTCACATGTTTAAATAATATCGTCTATATAATAATAATGATAATAATAATAATAATAATAATAATAATAATAATAATAATAATTTTTTTATTAATACCACTACAATGTAATTAAATACCTAATTTTATATAAACACCATAAATAACGCAAGCTAAAACATATTACAATGTTCGGTAAAAGTAACAATAAAAATTCCGTTTAACAAACGTTTATATTATTCAAAATTACGCACAGTAACAACTAAATTTCACTACACAAGTATCTAAACAAACTTATGAAAAATCGATAAAAATTTACAATAACTTTTTCTTTATGATTTCTTTTATTTTTTCTCGTTACAATTAATATAAACATAATCGTAATAATTATTATCTCGTTATTTATTTAACAACATTTAATTTAATATATTATAATTTAATTAATTTTTTTAATGGGGGGCACAGTTATTGATATGTTTCGATTATACATTTTGGTATAGTATTCACCCGGATAAGGCGACCAAAATCACAAAATGTTTATTCACATACAAACGCATGTTTACATTCAATTATAATAATTTGTTTTAATTTTCTTCAATTCAACATTTATATATCCACTAACGGTTAATATATAATATAAATAAGATTATAAGGCTACTGTTGATCACATTAAAAAAATACACAGGCTATACAGCGTTAAAATGTATATAATGATATGTATGTGTTGCAATTAAGAAAGGCTATTTTATTTTATAAATTAAAAAAAAAAAAACAAATTAAACAAAAGAAAATCTGTTTGAGCTTAAAATGTAATTTTTTTTTTATCTTCGAATAAATCTACAAATTCCGCAATGATCGTAATGATAGTAATTAAATTCTAATAATTAATCATAATAATGATGATGATACCTAATAATAATAATTATTATTATTATTAATAACGAAATAATTAGAAAAAAAAAGAATATTATAATTTGGACGGATATTATAATTTTTTTTTTTGCAAAAGACGTCGGTAAAACATAAAAAATAGCAATATAACATTTATTTTCAAATAATAATTAATCGTTTGTTTTTGGAATGCGTTATTTATTCAATAATTGTAGTCAGTGGAATGTGACAGTAAATTTTTTTTGTACAATAAGAATAATAATAATACATCAACGTCTTCTGCTAGCCCGTGAACACCGTTCGTCTTATGTTTAACAGATCTGAAATAATTACCTCGGCGATCACAGACTTAAATAAAAAAAAGTAAAACAAAATACTTATAATTTTAAGTATTTCGAATGGTATTATTATTATTTTTTTTATATATATATATTAATTAATAACTATAATTATTTAATTCATTAGTTATACGCCTAACTGCTTAAAAATAATAATAATAATAATAATGATAATTTCAATATAATACATTGAAAACATACATATTATGTACACTGAAACGCAGGAAAAAAGAATATTTTTTTTTCAATATTATTCATTGGTAGTTTTCTAAAAATAAAATGACAATAAACTATAATAGAACGTAATCTTTGGTCTTTTTCAGTTGTATATTATTAATATTACATAAAAAAAAAAAAAATACTCCGAGAACAAAAACATTGAAAAATTATTATTGTCTCTTAAAAAATTAAAAACTTAAAAAAAGATTGTCATTTTAAATTAATTATCAAATATTATGTACGCAATTTTATTGTATATAATAATTAGCTTACGTGTTCCCAGAAATATCCTATTTTTTTTTTTCGAAAAAAAGACGAGAATACGCAACAACGAAAAAAATCCTCGTATCTACCTAGAAAAACTTCCATGAGCTGCTAAACAAGCTGCACCCTGTAAATTTGTTTGAAACAAAATCTACTCGTATATAATGGCAAGAAATAAAAGACTAAATTGTATAAAAAAATAGTTTGCAGAATTCAATCATTTTGTATAATAATAATAATAATAATAATAATAATAATAATTTGTTTTATAATATATTTATATATATTTTTTTTTGACTAAACCGTCCTCGGTTTGGACACCGTCACAGACCAACTGAAGCTATACGGATCGCGCGCGACCCTATGTGATCGACTTCATGCAGTCTGTTAGCGTCTAACCATCCCAGCAGACTTAGTCTTTTATAAAATTATTTACAATGTTTAACGTTAATCCCTTTTCAAAGCATTATTGATATGTATTTAGTGAATGTATATGAGCGCGCTTACATTTTTATTTATTTAATTTTAATTTTAATTTTTTTTTGTGTCATTAGTAATTATTATTGCTAATATCTGAACCACGCCTAAACGAGAATAGGCAATTTTTTTAGGATAAAAAAAATACATGAGAAACAATCACAGATTTGATGAGTCTTAAGATCTTACACTACCCACTAAAAAAAGCATAATAGGACGATTATTTAGGTATTAGTTTAAAAGCTTAGGGAATAAAGTTAGGAATTAGGTACACTAAATATAATATAAATATGATGAATAGGTATGTTTTATAAACACTACAGGCGTACAAGGAAATTGTAACTGCTTTGTACAACAGCTTAAGAAGCTTTAAGCTAGCAATTATTTAATAATATTTCTTTTTCAAATTCAAATCAATTTAAATAAGATTTTTTTCTTTAGGGTTTTGGGAGGTTATTTTTGTCGTGTCGCGAGTTTTCTAGACTTGGGCAGGTACTGGTGGTCTATCTTGTAGTTGTCAGGTGTTGTTCAACTGCATGTGAGTATACGTGAAATTGACGTTGTCCAATTTCTTTTGGCCAGCATACTCCCTGTAAAAAAAAAAAAAAAAATTAGAAATTGTTAATTTTTCAATGTTTTTGTGACTGGTCCTCTAAATAAATATAAAATATATTAAATATTGTTTAGTCTATTTATAGTTTGACGGAGTGAATAGTACTGCGAGTGAGTACCTAGTAGTGGGGAGAGGAATACTAAATTTTATTTTGTTAGTTCTTTTAAGCTCGCGTCTATCGATTTCTGTGTTTGCGTGCAGTTATGTACTTGTCTATCCCACACGTGTAACCCCATTGTGAATAAGAATAGAAAAAAATCGAATAAAGACTCTAAAATAATATGTCTATCTCTTTTGAGGATCTCGTCCACGTGTCATGAAAAAAAATCCCCCCCTCGCCGCTTTATATTGGTATTATATTATTATATTGTGCCTAGCAATTTTTTGTGCCCTCCACCTTCTCACCTTATAATATGTTTTCTTATGTACATGGGTATAGAGAAATACGTTTATCAATGTCTTCATTTATAGGCGGTCGGCCAATAATTAAACGTCTGCTTTGACTGACTGTAACTCGTTCTATATTTGAAAAAAACAATAAAAAAAATCCTGTCATTTTTCTCGGGCTAACTTGGATCTTATAATATATCCTAAATACTATGCATAAGTGTTTATAAACATACATAATATATTTTTATATATACTGTAAAACCATGTGATGACGTCAATGTTTACTATAAATACGTGAATTAAACAATTTTCTCACACAATGCGACTACATTTAACTCTATATTATAATATATGCACTTGATATTATATACAGAGGAACCATACAAAGTGTTGTACGGTATAATATATATATATATTATAGATAACACCGGCTCCGAAGAATTTAACCTCACCTGTGGGTAAATCATATTGTAATGACGAATACTTAGAATACGAGTGCAATATAATATAATTTTATATCGTAATGGTAAATTTCGCGCAAAGCTCGTTTTGCGCTGATTATTAACGTCACGTCAGCCGTGTGCGAATCCTGCAAAGCGATCAAAAAAATAAAACGTCTCACGCGAAAGACAAACACCAAAGTCGCGTATTCGTAAAGTCGTAATATTATCATAATCATATTGCGTACAGTTTTCCAAATATGTATGATACCATATTATTTCGCTTGCGGTAACTACACCGAATGTCACGTGTATTACCTATACAAGACGCGTTAAAAAACGTATTAGACATCTAAACATTGTTAGTACACATTAAATTGATATTTGTATTATATTATAATATAGTGATAAAGACTCCGCGTGCGTGTAAAATAAATATTATATTTTTACAATAACACGAAAACTCAAAATACAATTTCAAATCATCTTCGAGACCGTTGTTATCTACATTGTACAATATTAAAGTGGCGCCTTGATGTCTTACACACACAAAACATTGACAAAACAAAAACGTACTCGTAGGTAATTACAGTTATACATAATATATTAATATAATGTTATAGTTGTTGTTTACGGTATGGTTTTGTTGTGTTTTTCGTTTTTTTTTTTTTTTTGTTTTTTTTTACTGACTACTGACCTGGCGAAAATGTCTTTAAGCTCGTGGTCAGACACGAACTGCCCAAGGTTGGCGACGAACAGCGTGGAACAGGGCGGCTGGGGCTGCTGCTGGTTGGGCGGCGAGGGCAGTGCGGGGGAGGGCAGGAACGGAAGGCCATGTGGGCCCAGCGTCAACGTCGGCTGAAAACGAGCCAATCCTAATATGATTTTATTACGCATAGTACCTTCACCGCAAGCTACACAAATAACTATATAAAATCGTCTCTTGTCCGTTTCATTCCTTTTTTTCTGATTTAATTCTTATTTTTTTCTCATCGCACGCGCGCACATGACTTTACTAAGACTAAACTATATAATTTACAACTACACCGTCATATGTAGCGCGCGCGATCATACCAAAACACTACACTACACACACCATACACACACGACAACATCTAATAGATCATTATAAGATGAAATTCTTATGATATTATAATATGGTCTCGGACACGGTGGCGGCGGAAGAAAAAAATGTGCAAAGCAATAACGCGTGATGCGAATGCAGTCGCTGCTGCATAATGATAACTGTTCCAGTCTTCTCGGCGAAGGTGTACCGTTGCACGCAAGTCTCGACGAAATGACGCAGATGGCCTTTGTGCCGGTCTGGTTACCTCTGGTACATACCAGAACACGACGTCTGCGACACTAAACAGCCGATCCGTTGGCTGCCACGGGCAAGACATTTTCGCCAAAGTGCAGTGCTACCGTGTCCGCGATAACTATACTAACTACGCTAAAGCTGCCTATCATAACACTGTAACGTGTATGAAACCGTAAGTTCCCATTCGATGTCTCTGCCGAAGATATTAGGCCGAACATGCCGTGCAAATTTTCCGGACTTGCTGTAGTTCTATTTTCACAGCAAGCATGGTATATATGATATAGTAGCTAAATACCAATATTTTATGCAGCAAACGGATTTCAATGTTTAATAGCTATATCGTTAAATTGCATTAGTAAAACTATATCCGTACAGGTAGTTATGGAAACAACTATATAGTTAACCGACAATTAAAGCCCATAAGGGTTAAAGCCAAATTATTTTTAATTTAAAATTTATACATTTCAATATATGTACGTATAATGATTGAATTTTTTGATTATGATTATGAATATAATTTAATAACTGAAATATGAATAATTTCATTACCTGTAGCTTTTTTACAAATTAAAATTTTGCTTATTTTAACATCAATAATACATCATCTTATTTTTAAAATTTAAATTATACAAATTTTATTAAATATAATTATCGGTTAATTATATAATTTTTTTGCTCCACACTGAGTAAGTAAAGCAAAATTATATCACCATACATCGTAATTCGCGATGAAAGAAAAAAAGAAAGAAGAATATTATATAGGTATATGCGCAACTGATAAGTGTGTATTACAACAATTAATGATCATGATTCGTGATGAAAACTGTATGTGCTATTGTTAATTATCCCACTTCCTGAAAACTACTGCCAAATTTTCCATCAATATTGTACAAATTATTCCGAGAACGAAAACTTTCAAAAAACAATTTATAGATAAATTTGGTGAGAACTAAAAATTACAAAATAATTTGAAGTATATAATTGTAATGAAATGGTTTTCTTTTTAGATTTATTTAGTTAAAGTTTAAAACAAAAATAAATTAATAAAGATAACTGATACATCATAATAGCTGGGCAAAAAGCGATATTTTAAATTATATTATCCTGGTTTATATTATTTCTAATATTTTTCAAGTAATTTATATGTAGACACTAGACAACGACTGGAAAATCCGAACCGAATGCAATGAAAATGTATTTATACGTTAATATTTTATAAGTTCATTAAAAAATAAAATCATGGGAAAACTTATTTTCTAAATTTATAACAAGATCATCAAAACGTATTTACAAAAAATAAAAAAAATATAACACAATTTCTTAACTTTGCGTTGCAATGTTTTTCTTATTTTATTTAAAATTGTTAAGTATTGTTTTCGGCAAGATCACTTATTGCCACAATCATATTATTATGCGCCAAAACATGATTCGCATTTGCCGTGAAAATGATATAATGGAACCCTATCAGTATCCAACACGATTCAATGTTTGTGCGCTTAAAATGTAGATTTACGTCGAGTATTTAATGCAGCGTTCTCGACGTACACGTACTTTCAATTAAAAGCGAAGCATACCTACACTAAATTACATTACAACAATACGGCGACGACGTCGTTTCGTATACAGTAATACAATGGTTACAATATGACAGGCTAGCACAAGTGTCGGTATAATATCGTTATAATATTATGCGGTAGCGAAATTATTTTAAATTTAATTCTTAAATTAAGATTTCACACACTACCTGTTGAGGATGTGGATGTAGCCCCGGATGGACGAGAGCTGCGTGTTGTAGAGCCGTGGCCGTGGCTGCAGTTGGCATATCAGCGTACGCCAACGGATGATGCCATAACTCTGCTGGAGCGCCGGTGAAGAACGGGGTGCCTAAATCTAAACGGTGATAAAGACAAATAAATACGAGTATTTTACGACGATGGATTATAAGACGTATGTGTCAGAAATCACGGGTAAGGGGTGGTATTCGTGAGGGTGTGTGGTGAGGAGCAGCGAAAGAGGAGCGATGGCGATGGGAAGTCGGATAGCGCGTATAGACCGAGTATAAGTATTAGATTGTATTCAATTCGAAGATAAAGTTACACCCACACTGTTTAAGAAGAGCGCATGTTCAGGGTATATTTATTATTTGCGTGAAAATGTAATAAAATAATTTAACGACTATTACATTTTAAACTCTACAGTTATGACATTGTATTAAACGTTTAAAAGTTTTTTTTTTTATTTGTATATACATTATAGTTTTATACGTGAATTAAGTTTTATGTATAGCTTGATTAGTTGTAAAAACAAAAAAATCGAGTAAAGAGAGTTTTCTCCGAGTAGCAGCCGAATTGCATACAACCATTAGAGTAGACGAAAATAATCATTTGGACATATCTTCTAAAGTCGTGAACCGAAATTACTCGGTTGAAACAGTATAATAATATGATATTAACCGATAGAGACACGCGATCGTCCACCGTGGCTTATTTCTGCGTACAGCTCCGATATAAGACATAAATATCTCCGCTTTCTTCTCTACATTCCCGTCGGTATTTACTAGAAATAGTTTGTTTTGTTTTTTGGCTTTCGCCCTCTTCTCCCCCCTCCCCCCCCAAAAAAAAAAATATTTAAAAGACTTACAATAGTATGTATAGTATAATATGATAAACTAGTCATGGCGGCGGACGGGACAGATCGTCGGTGCCGAGGAAGTTGACGAGATATGCAGGTACTTACGTCCGGTGAGCGGGTGCATCAGGCCTTGGTGCGTGTTGGGCGTGACGTTTGCGTTGGCGGGCTGTTTTGGCTTGCTAACCTTCGTGTTGCTTTTAGCGAATTCTAGCCGTATGGTTTGCGGCATGTCGGGATCGAACCGGACGCCCTGCTGCCGAAACCAAACACACAACAATACAGTGCTACCATCCCGTGTCGGTAAACAGAGCGGGCAGTTTCCGCTTAAGTACGACTACGATTTGGGTTTTTGTGGCGGGGGAGGGCTGGAGTGCGAGTCTAGACGCGACACGCGAAGTTTTGGTTTAGCATTTTTTTTTCTGTCTTCGCGTGTGGTGCCAATACATTACGTATGATATCACTACGCGTGGTACGTAATAGTACGAGACAGCGTTTTCTAATACATATTATTATGAGCTAGTCGTAATCGTGGTGCTATACTTCACTACGGAAAACTACCCGTCTGTGGTTATCGTTTAACATAATCTAAATTTAAAAGTCTTGGCCCGTAGACATATAAAACTACTTGCCGATCAATTAATATATATATATATATTATATATATATATATGTCGTAGCCACTTGATGAAATTGATCTTTTCATGAAAAGATGACCATTTCATGAAATGGAAACAGATTTTTTACACTTCGTGAAGTTCGAAAATATTTCACAATATGGTCACTTTTTCATGAAATGGTCACACTAATTTAACATCGTGTAATTTTTTTCACAATGTGGTCGTTCACTTTGTGTACTGAAAATTGAAATACAATATTTATTACACACGTAAATGTACAAGCTTTAATAAACATAAATGTAAGTTATTTTTATCTAAAGAACACGTAAAGTTTGATTATATCCGTTAACTAGGTAGGTACGTGACACGTGTCCATATAAAATAAAACAAATACTATCTATATTCTATACGACTATTATACTGCAATTACCGGACTATCCGAAATGTGTAGATAATATTTTATTAGTTTTGATAAAAGTCATAATAGGATAATGTCATACCAGTATTTTAGTTATACTTTGATGCTCAAGTTTTTAGTAATTGCTGTGTGGATCATTCGATCGTATTCTATTACAATTATCTACTGTATTCTATCTCTACGTAGTATATTAAAAATAGATAACTTTAATGAAAAAACTGAGTTTTACCAAAAAATGGATAAATATTATTTGGATAAGCCTGGTAAAAAGCCATATACATCTGAAAAAATCGAGTCGATAATTTTGGAAATTACTGACGCTAAATTAACGTAAGTACCTACATATACATTATACCTACTAAGTTTATTTATTTGTTTACTTATAATACATAGTGTAACTCGTCTATTTGACCAATCAACAAATGTAAAAACTCTTTTTTTTTTTAAATTCCAAGATATATTTTATAAATAAGTTATTAAAAATAATTTTAGCGTTTAAAACTTTGAATTAGGTAAGCCATTGATTTTTAAACAATTTTCAAAGTTTGTTAAAATTCAAATTTATTTCTTCCTAAAGTTTTTTCATTAAAGTTATCCATTTTTAATATACTACGTAGAGATAGAATACAGTAGATAATTGTAATAGAATACGATCGAATGATCCACACAGCAATTACTAAAAACTTGAGCATCAAAGTATAACTAAAATACTGGTATGACATTACCCTATTATGACTTTTATCAAAACTAATAAAATATTATCTACACATTTCGGATAGTCCGGTAATTGCAGTATAATAGTCGTATAGAATATAGATAGTATTTGTTTTATTTTATATGGACACGTGTCACGTACCTACCTAGTTAACGGATATAATCAAACTTTACGTGTTCTTTAGATAAAAATAACTTACATTTATGTTTATTAAAGCTTGTACATTTACGTGTGTAATAAATATTGTATTTCAATTTTCAGTACACAAAGTGAACGACCACATTGTGAAAAAAATTACACGATGTTAAATTAGTGTGACCATTTCATGAAAA